TATTATTAGACAACCACAACCTGCGTGACTGATAAATGTATTAAATGTAACCATTCGTGATCTCAAGTAGTAATTAGAACTTTAAAGTTTCAGTCTGCGAATAAAAACGTGAATATCAGATAATCGCTCGTGAGTTCAAACAATCACTTATGCGCCACCATCTGTTATTCAATCAGTACGTGAAAAGACGTGACCCGTGAAATACACGTCACGTGCCATTACTGGGTTGTAATGTCATCTTCTCAAATAAATATACAAGGTGATTCTTTTAGGGCCTACATTAGAAACTTTTAAACTTCTAATGCAGATAGGAATTTGAAATTTTGTGTCCAACCCAAATCAACCAGTCTGAGTTCAACTAAATTATTTTCAAAATGGCTGAACATCCGGAACTATGAGAAATTGGCGCCAACTTTGAAATGTTAAATGGTACCCACTTATTTTTATTGCATTTTTGAATTCTCCTTTTTAAACTGAGTAAAATGTACCTAGTTTTTAGTACTTATCTGTCATAGTTTTTGACATATGTCAATTTTTGGTCAAAATTTTCATTTGCAGAGGTTTATTAAAAACATCACAGCTCTTGAACCGTTTGCGATAAGTGAATAATTTTTCTTGCATTCGATAACCAAAGGTTCGAAGAGTTTTCTAGAATTTTCATAATTGTCAACTGTCAAATTGCAAGGGTAGCATGATTTTTTGAAAATGATCATTAACAAACAGCTATAACTCAGTTTTTTCAAATGAAATGACTCTATTTTCTCAACGGCAATCAAAAGTATATCAATTTCTAGAAGGACTTTTATTAATATGTCCTATACCTATCTCTTAAAGTTTTTGAAATAATCACAAAAAACAGGTTAATGTTTTTATTTTTTTAGTTAATCACTTAGGCTTTGGAAAAATACAATAAAGATAATTAATACAGATGTTCGATATGTTTACCATTTTCAAACAGTCCAAAACTCGTTGGTGAACTGATTTGAGTAGCTTCCATTAGTTTATTTGGTTGAAGATTATTAAATGCCGCCTCAATCCTTGCCTCAATTCTTCGTAATTCCGGATGGGTGTTGTGTAGATTAATAAATAATACGTGTTGATCATTTTCCAAAGCCTACGTGATTTACTATAAAAATAAAAAACAAAAACACGTTTTTCGTGTTTATTTCAGAAACTGTAAGAGATGGATATAGGACATGTTGATAAAAGTCCTTCTACAAATCGCTGTACTCTCGATTGCCGTTGAGAAAATGGGGTCATTTTATTTGAAAAAACTAAGTTATAGCTGTTTGTTAAATATCATTTTCAAAAAATCATGTAAGCCTTGCAATTTGACAGTTGTCAATTTTGAAAATTTTAGGAAACTCTTCGAACCTTTGGTTATCGAATGCAAGAAAAATTATTCACTTATCGCAAACGGTTCAAGAGTTGTGATATTTTTAATAAACCTCTGCAAATGAAAATTTTGACCAAAAAATTGACATATGTCAAAAACTATGACAGATAAGTACTAACAACTAGGTACATTTTACTCAGTTTGGAGAGGAGAATTCAAAAATACAAAAAAATAAGTGGTTACTATTTAAAATTTTAAAGTTGGCGCCAATTTCTCGTATTTCCGGAAGTTCAGCCATTTTGAAAATAATTTAATTGAACTTAGACTGGTCGATTTGAGTTGTGTACAAAATTTCAAATTTCTATCTGCATTAGAAGTTAAAAAGTTTCTAATATAGTCCCTAAAAGAATCACCTTGTATAGGTGGTCCGAAACTAAAAAGCTTAAACTGGTTTCTAAGAAAGCAATAGGATTCACAAAAACAAAGAACCTATACAAAAATAATGTATAGTCTGTTCATTTTATTTAACAGTCTTTTGAATAAACGAATACCCACCTGTTTACTTCCAAGTTAGAAGAAAATTTCATTCGAAGTACTTTATTTTAATTTGATGAAAAACACAATTTTGAGCTGGACCTAATTTATAAAGCCTTTTTTTTCTCTTATTTTACAATAGATTCAACATTATCGAGGCTTGAACCCCGAAGCAACCACGCCCCACCCAATGCAGGGTGTTTCAGAACTCGCGCCGCAGAGAAAAGGTAAAATATCAGGAGCATGGAAAAAATGTTAAAAAAAATTATCTACAAAGGTTTCGAAGTTATGAGAGTTTAAATTTTGCACTTTGACTCTATTTATTTCTGTTGGAAAAATATTTTTCCAAGTTTTTTTGCTACAGGCTATTAGAAGAGGAAACAAGGAAGGTGTATTCTAAATTATAACTTTGTTTAATGTTATTTGTGGCTTTTATTGGCAAAATTTTTGTACTTTTACTAAATAATTGTAAAAAAACATATACAAAATCATCAGTATCATTAAATAGACATAAAAAAATGTCAGATATGTTCAGATAGAATTTTTTAAACATTTTTTCGATGTTCCTGGTATCTTATCTTACTTGAAATTTTTCTCTCGGGCGCGAGTTCTGGCGCACCCTGTATAATCATTCATCTTTTTAGTAATTTTTTAAATATAAATTCAGTTTAAATATCGATGAAATTTTCAGCTGTCTTTATTAGTGTTGCACTAAATTCCAAATTACACACTGAAAACGGACACCTACGAGGAGCTGAAAAAGTGAAAAAAAAAGTACTTCAAATAGGTACATTTTCATACTTAATACAATAAATGAGTGATCAAATCTCTAGTTTTTAAGCAATTGGTGTATGTACCACTACAAAGATAAACAAAATATTTATGTTCAAACAATATGATAACATAAAAGTATACCAAGAGTTACAGTATTCATTCAAAAAAATTATTTAAAAAGTACTATTCAATATTTTGAATTACAAACCACGTGAACAAAAAGTATGGAACCAAATGTTTTTTGCTTAAGCTACAATTAAATATTTAGTGTAAAATGTTTTAAAATTAATATCAACAACGAATTCATGTTTACGTTTATTGTTGTTTGTGTTTTTTTGGTAATCTGAAATTATACCTTCATGATTAAACGTCAACGCAATAAACTTTTACGTATTAAAACAAAAATTGAAATAAATTATTGTATTAGAAAAATATATTTTTATATAAAATATTTTTTCTACTCCCACATCTAAAACACGGATTATAGTATGTTTCTATGACGCTAAGTGACCTTTTATATACATCTTCACAAGCCGTGACTAATATGCATATTAGTTATGTTGCTACAAGCAACTGTCGTATTAGTCATGAACTGAAGTTAGCTTTCTGTCAGTTGTCACAAATTCCAAATTAAAGTATTTTTTTGTGGTGGTCGTAGAAAAAGTATAGTATGTAACACGTGTATAAACTTCTCTAGACATTCGTTTTATCTGGGCTTCGCTCGTCCCTAATAAAACTCATGTCTAGAATGGCGTTTATAGCACTAGTTACATTATACAGGGTGAATATAAAGTATGGAACCAAGCGGTTTTATTTTTAATCATTTGCCTCCGGAAAATAATAATTAATATAAATTAAAGTAATGTAAAAAATGTGATCGTAATTTCAGAACAAAATTTTGTTTTGTATTGAGTTATGCGATTTTTTTTGTCAAAATTGCAATTTATGTGAAAAAAATTTTTTGAAAAAATTAAAAATAAAGCATATAGTTGTAATCCTTAGAGTATAGCTTTTATGAGAAAAATGATTTCATAGTGGGTTGCCATTTAAAAAAAATAATTTTTTTGTAGAACTCAAAAATAAAAGGAAATTTCGAAAATTTTTATTCTTGTTAAATCATGACATTTTTTATAGTACTTTAGCACTCATCAATTAGTTTTTTCAAAAAATAAATAGTTTAAGCAAAAAACGTTTGGTTCCATACTTTTTATTCACCTGGTATGAATACTTTATAAAATTTGAATTTGAAATTTTTCTCATGACGATTAGCTGCTAGGCAATAGAGCAACTATTTTTTCACGAATGAAATTATACATAGCTTAAAGAAATAATAACGCCAAATTACATTCGTGATAATAATATTTCGTTATAATTTTAAATAGATTTAGCACTCACCTTTGTTGGTATTAAGTCCCACTTGTGGACTTCGTCCACTCGTGAGATGTCTATAGCAACAAAAATTCGAAATTATCATCACTTATGTAATTACTGTTGAAAATTTCAGGTAAGACGTTGCACATACATGTATAAAATATTTCAATATTTTTCATAAATAGATTTTGGACCAGACTATTTAGCCCAAATTTTATAAAGCTACTTTACTTGTTTTCGGAAAAGTTTCAAATCAAAACAGATTCATAAAAATATCTACTACCAAAACAAGATAAATCATAAGAAAATAAAATTCCACAACATTGGCATAAATAAAAGTTCAGATTCCATTTGAATTATCGCCAATTAAATAAAAATTTAATAAATTAAGTATAATTAGTTATCACGTATAAACACGTGTCCAATTATCATAAACAATAGAAGTGTTCTGACAGGTTGCAAGCGAAGACTATTGTCTTCAAAGATTAGAAAAAACACGTCCATAGCACCAACTCCAACATAGATAATAAGTCCTTTACTGTCACTCATGTCACAATCTCATATTTTTCACCACCCACACAACAGCCATGACATCACTTACATGGGTTAAAAAGGGCCCGACCTTCCACACTAATTACCTCCCATCAACTTTTGCACAATTACAAAGGTAAAAATCAGGTAAGTTCTGCGAAAATCAGGTAGATTGTGGTTCGTGGAAGCGGGCCCTGATTTAACAATTGGTGCAAGTACCACCAATCCAAACACAGGTGTTGGGCTCGGTGCTATTTACCCAAGAATCCGGTCAATTCCCACGTATCCCGAGTACCAGTACCACCAGGTGGTTCTAATAACGGTACGAACGGGTTTTGTTTTCGGTGCCTAAGTGACTGAATAACCCAGATCGCGGTACCGTGGCACCACTTCCAGAATCATTTAAATAGCATCATCGTGTGCACGTGGCGTGTAATAGATCAAAATCTCTCACCTGTTTCGTTACTAATCCCTGAAGATTCCACCAATTGAAATAGCACGAAAATCAAAATCACAACAAACATGTTTTAGCAGTACCATTCTAAGCCACTCGCACTCATCTACCACGGAACCATTCCGAAGCGCACCAACTTACGTCACCAACTGCTCAACAGCTACTAATTCACTCCGGCCACGCTACAACTCAGGAGTACTCCGATCACGTGAACAAAACAAAAGAACCTGTTGCTGGCTAGGCCTCCTGGGGCCGTTTGCTGCATTGTGCTACGACTGCTCGGATATTCGACTAATTGATGTTTTTTTTTCTAATTGGCAATGACCTAGGACCCACATTCACTGGCCAATTAAAATTAATTTTTAAAATAGACAAAATACAATATACAATCAGAGGTGTGTTGTTACTTTTGTTTTAATATTAAATTGTTGGGACGGGAGAAGATTATTTGGACATACTGGCTGTGTTATAAAAGATGTGATGGCATACTGGTGTCACAGCTAGTTCGTAAAGTCTATTGTTTACCTTTAAATGTAAAAATTTTAAAACAAATTATACAGGAAAATGATAGATACTATTTAGTGCATCGTCTAAAATTATTTTCAACTATACAGCGTGTTCCAAAAATAAGTTACAATACAAACTTATGTTTTTTTTTTTAAATCGTTATTTTATCAGTAGCTCGGCTCCTAATTGAAAATTGAAATACGAAGATGAAAGCAACTGCACTCGATAGAACAGAAATTTTTTTTTACTGATAAGCTACTGACTTTTATGCTAAAAAAGTTAGAGCAATAATGTACACAGTGCTGCATTTTGGATGTCCGGTTAGGGAATCTCCAAAACTAAGAGGTTTAGCCAAAAACGAGTGATACATTTTGGGGCTCATTTTTCAAGAAAATAATATTGGTTAAAACCGCTATCGTCTTTTGTTTTCGACTTACAGACAATGGTTGACATTTTAGCAAAATCTAAAAAGAAATTATCTTCGATAAGGATTTGAAATAAAGACTCTTTTTTACGAAGAATTTTAATAATGTAATTAACAGTTTTTTAGTTAACCTTTTTTTACAAACGCTATGATCTAAGGATTACAATTATCTTCATTTTATTTAATTTTTGTCAATTTTTTTTTATGCATTATGTCTCCGGACTGAAAATTACCTTTGATTTTACGCCAAAACTGCAAAGGAAAAACATTTTTTGCTTTAGCTAAAACAAGCAAATTTATAATTAAAACTTCATTATTTTAACTTAGTAGAAAGAAAAGTTCATTTTTCTCTTGATTTTGTACTTAGAATAATTTTTCTCTGCTTTTTAATTAACATTGGCGGTTTTATTATTTTGACAATGATGTCACTTTGACAAATGAGGTTACGGAAGTTAAATAACAAAAATGTTTGTGAAAAACATAAATTTAATAAATAGCGACTCAAAGAAATAGCTTTAAGATAAAAACCAAAGTAATTTTTAACAAAAACTATCATTAATTATTTAAAAAATAATTGTCAAAGTGACATATAGTTGTCAAATAAATAAAACCGCCAATGTGATAGGACTTAAAAAGCAGAGAATAATTATTCTTATTCCAAAATCGAGAGAAAAATTAACTTTTCTTTTCACTGAATCAGAATAAAGAAGTTTTAATTACAGATTTGATTGTTTCAGGTAAAGCAAACAATGTTTTTCTTTTGCAGTTTTGGCGTAAAATGAAAGATAAAAAATGTTTTTCTTTTGTAAACTCAATCCGGGGATATACTGTATGTTGCCAAAAAGTTGTCAAAAAAAACGTATAACTCAAAAAAAAACAAATTTTATTCTCAAAATACGATTACATTTTTATAGCACTTTTATTTTTATTAATTTTTATTATCTAAAAGCAAATGATTAAAAAAACGCTTTATTGGTTCCATACTTTTTATTCACTTTGTACCTATAATTGAATTCTAAAATAATTTATTTCTAATTATTTTAATAACTACAAACTATATTTTTTATAAAACCTGTTATAATAATTAATAGCAGATGACGTATCCACAGTTGTTAAACAGATTGACTTGAATAACAGCATACCATTCTTTAGAAAAAAAAACACAAATGATTATTAAGTATTTGATAATTTCCACTTCCGTGCAAATTTTGCAATTACAAATTTTGTATATCGTATTTTAAAAACATTTTTCTATTTTGCGTTCGTACTAATACCAGTACAAAACGGTTTTGCGTATTGTACTGAACAAAAACAGTGCTATAAAAATTATACTAAAAAGACGAGAGATTTCCAGAATTCACAATTATTAATACTAAAATGTTAATTACTCAATATCTATCAACTACATTAATCACTTTTCACAGTTACCGGTAGAAAAAATCAAGAAATTTTATCATGTAGAAAAGATTCCATTTAATTAAACAAAAATTTGGTTTTTGAAGTTACGTGATTAACTATAAAAATAAAAACAATAACATGTTTTTCGTGATTATTTCAAAAACTGTAAGAGATAGGTATAGGACATGTTGATAAAAGTCCTTCTACAAATTGATGTACTTTTGATTGCCGCTGAGCAAAATAGAGTAATTTCATTTGAAAAAACTGAGTTATAGCTGTTTGTTAATGATCATTTTCAAAAAATCATACTAGCCTTACAATTTGACAGTTGACAATTTTGAAAATTCTAGAAAACTTTTCGAACCTTTGATCATCGAATGCAAAAAAAAAAACACTTATCGCAAAGAGTTGTGATGTTTTAAATAAACCCCTGCAAGTGAAAATTTTGACCAACAAATTTACATATGTCAAAAACTATGACAGATAAGTACTAACAACTAGGTATATTTTACTTAGTTTAAAGAGGAGAATTCAAAAATGCAAAAAAAATAAGTGGGTACCATTTAAGATTTCAAAGTTGGCGCCAATTTCTCGTAGTTCCGAAAGTTCAGCCATTTTGAAAATAATTTAGTTTAACTCAGACTGGTTGATTTGGGTTGTGTACAGAATTTCAAATTTCTATCAGCATTAGAAGTTACAAAGTTTCTAATATAGACCTTAAAAGAATCACCTTGTATAATTCTCTATCGTTCGCATTAGCAATTTTTTTTAATCAATTAGAAGTATGTATTTATTTTTGCGTCGGCCCTAAAATTTGGAATACCCTGTACATACTTATACGTTACGGAAGTACTTTAATTGATAAGTTTATCAGTTTTAGTAATAAAATTTAAAACAAATTAAATGTAATAAATTTCGTTTTTTAAAAGCACCAACATACATTCTGAGTGTGCTTAGCCACTAATGCAAATTTTCCTTAGTTAAGAATTAATTAAATACTCGTACTTTAGTTTCAGTTCTACTCTAGTAATTATCACCTATTTCTACTTGTAATGCTTTCACGATATAAAGGAAACGAAGTCATCATACGGTGTTAAACTGTTCACTAATACATTTGCATTTACATCGTGTTATTTAAATAACACAAATGTTAAAGTATATGAAGCTTCGATTTACTTATTTTCACAAAACCAGTTCAAATCACCGTTTAAAAAAAAAACTAAAATTCTAGCTTTACCATATACTGTGTAATGTTTTTTTTGTGTTTTGATCAAAGTAATTTCAGGATACCTACTTTCTTGAGATAATTTGAGTATAAGATCAAAATTACGGCTAGTTATACAAAATAAAACAAAAAAATAACAAAAAAAAGTATTTAGTAACAAAAAAAAGTATTTATTTTTTCTCATAAAGTACACCGTTTACTTACTCAAAATATCTATATTTGTTACGTAACAATAACGGGATACCAATTAATGATTATTACTTATTTTAGCGTGTTTTACGATGCAACGGTCTAGATAAATAACAAAGTTCTAGCATGATAAAGCCTCAATTATTTTCCGTGTAGTGCAGTGTCTGTAACAATAGAAGTTAACAACGTATGTGCACTTGAGGATGTTTCAATTTATATCACGATTCTAAATATTAACAAAAATTGGGTCATAGATAAGAAACTGATTTTCTTCATGAAAATGTAGTTTTACAAATGTGACAATATTTATTAAAGGAATACCTTTCAGTTTCTGTGATTATGATAATCCTGAGGTCCTAATATTTGAAAGAGATTTCAAATATTTGATTTTTAAATGAAATATAAAAATATGACATTATCAAAAACCTCATTTTTTGTAAACTTCCGATTTCAAAAGTAAATTTAAAAAGTTTGATAGGTAGTCCTAGAAATCAATAAGAATTTTAATTTTAATACAATACCTACAAAGTATTTAGATAAATTATACCAAAACGGTTTGAGATATGTAGCGATTTCAATGTTTTTATTGAGACAATAGATTGATAATTTTTCCTGTCAAATTACAAAAATTTATTTTTAAACACAAAGAAATGGTGATTTTTTTAATATGAAGCAACGACCACCAAGATTTTTATACCAGTTTATTCACAATCATTCTATTTTATTTACAATCATTCTCTTTAGGGAACAGAAAACCAATAATAGTATATTACATGCCGAGTAAGAAAGAGCTTCATTACCATTACAACTGAGCGTTGGTTAAATGTGTGATAAGGCTGAAATAAAGCTTTACTTCAAAGTTTGTATACTAGGAGTATTTTATTCGCAATCATCCAATCGCAAACATCCAATTTACTATAAACTTTGAATAATAAATATCCTGATGTTTGATGTAATAAATATAAGTCAACTAAGCGAGGCATGATAATAATAAAATTATAATAACTGTCAAAATGACGATTTAAAAAAATGACCTTTCCTCCATTTTTCATTTAATTACTGAATTGTATAAATGTTTTATGACCGTTGGTAAATAAATACTATCAAATAACAACTTTCAACAACTTAACTAACTGTAATGATTGTGGGGCTCATTGGAGTTATATATGCCACTCTCTAGGTATAGGTTGTATATAATATTTTGAGGTATATAATAATTTCCCGGCTAGTTTCAATAATCATCTAGTTCTCTATTCTTAGGTCCCCAGCTGTTGCTATGTCAAGAAATTAAAAGGTTATAATAATGTGATTGTGAATAAAATCTATTACCAATTTTTCATATGTGAAAATATTTTACTGCATTTAGAAACATTTAATTTCCAAAAAGGAGTCTTTAAGGATGTACTATTACGGACAAAATATTTGATTATCGTTTTGATGTCACTTAAAAAAAAAATCATGTAAACCAATCATCAACGTCAAGTCAACATTGATGACATTTCAAATTTTTGACATTTCTCTTGTCAAAAATAAGCCACCATCTACCGTTCAAAAATTTATAATTGTCTCTCTTACTTCTGAGAGGAATTGTCGATAAGAAGATTGGATACAGCAAAAAGTACACTTGGTTGCAAAAAAATCGGGAAATGTCAAAGCATGAAAATGTGATATTTTTATATTTATCCATAGTTTAACCTAGTTAGAACTAACAGTCTAGTACTCACTACTCATTGGGTTTTCACGTAAGTACTCAACTAATTGATTGATGCTTGCGGCATTGCAGAAAAAATTATTTGAATGCGACAGATGACAAATTCACAAGAACAAAACCTGTTTCAATCTAAAGAAAATTCTATTTTGCGTTTTTATTGCAACCAACTGGACTCTTATACAGTATGTCTCCGGATTGGGTTTACAAGAGGAAAACATTTTTTATCTTTGATTTTACACCAAAACTGCAAAGAAAAAACATTTTTTGCTTTATTTGAAACGAGCAAATCTGTAATTAAAACTTCATTTTTCTAACTCAGTAGAAAGAAAAGTTTATTTTTCTCTTGATTTTGGACTTGTACCAAATTTTTCTCTGCTTTTTAAATCCTACTACGTATAAAGACCAAAGTATTTTATCCCTAATAGTACAAAAAAATTACATTTTTGCATTAAATTAAATTATTTATCCACACTCACTCTATAAAGAGACTTTATTCTACACTTTAGATGCGTATAAAGTACTACTTTATCCAGTAGTGGAATAAAGTAACTTTATTCACTGTTGTAGCCAGCGCACCGTGTAACAGCTTACTACGTTTAACGGAAAGCACATTTGGCGTGACGTTTAAATGTCAGTTTAATTTTTAATTAAGTTTGGAATAATTTGGGCCTGTGATTGTGGATAAAACGTTATATTGTAGTCGTGTGTTAGTCACGTTTTATCCACTTAAGAAAATTAAACACTCTTGCGTGGATAAAACGCTACCTAACACACTCTTACAATAAATAACTATTGTTTATTTTTGATACATAAATAACTATTGTTTTAAAAAATATAAAAATAGTTATGTTATGCAACTAATTATACAATTTGTTTTGTGTGAATTCGAACTATTGAGAATTCGAAGTAATGTATTCTTGGCGCAAGCGCAGTTCACTTCTACAGTAACTGTCAATTGTCAAATTATAAATTTGAAAAGTGGTAATGGTAACGGTGTTGTATGCGTGTAATTGTGTGCCTTTTTCCCGTTTACGTCTGTTAGTAGTGTGATTTGAAATTTTTTTGTTTGACAAAATTTTTTTTGTTCACACTACTAACAGAATGGAGGAATACGACAGTCTGGTATTGAGGGAAGCTTCCTTTTTGAGGGCTCGAGACCCAAGCATCTTGGCTTTCAATCGACCTTTAATTCCGGGCCCCAGGACGAATTTAGATAAGGAATTCGGTGAAGAAACTTCTCAAGGCGACGACCAGGTAAAAACTGTAAGCAAAAACACTCTTTCTTATCATTTTAACGAATGATTTTGAATTTCTTTCTGAGGCGATTTGCTCGTGAAAGAAAGAGTAATTATGTGTGATGGGAATTGTTCTTATATAAGTTTGAGTTCAAGTGATGAAAGCTGCTCGGGCGATGAAGATTTGAGGGTTAATTATAATGTTGAGTGTTTCTTCTTTGATTGAGTGATTGTGCACTAGCACATTTTACAAATTTATTTAAGATCTCTAAAATATGTTTTGTTTTTTTAGCCAGGAAATATTCGCGTATTTTTGCGTTTAAAAGACGGCCATGATCTTCAGGACTTGTACCAAATTGATGGGAACGTCCTCACTTCAAAGGTCCCTCCCGGCTCGAATTTCCTGAGGAACATTAAAGAAGAAAACTCGTTGAATAAAATGTACACATTTACAAGAATATTTGACCCCCAAACAACCCAAAGAGATGTCTTCAATTGTGTTGTGAAACCTAAAATTTTTGGTTTTATAAATGGCAAAAACTCGACCCTTTTTACGTATGGCGCTTCAGGCTCTGGTAAAAAATTTGGAACTGTTTCAAACAGCGATTTATGTACAGAATTTTTAGGAAAGACTTTTACTGTAACTGGCACACAGGAAAAACCAGGGATAGTTCCACGGTCTTTGGACTATCTCTTCCGCAGTTTGCCCCGATTGCCCAGTAATCCTCCTGCAAAGCCAACACCTGCAGGAACTGTAAAACCATTAAGTGAGTCCGAGTCTAAGAAGGAAAAATTGCTCTGCAAACATCTTCTTGATTCGTCTTTAGGGTCGGGAGATCGGACCCAACAAGTTGTGATGACCTACCGGTAAGTTCGCAATGTATTGTTTAGTCTCACATATTCCTGTTTTGATTTACATCTAAGAAAACGATTTTAACAAATAATTTCATTAAGTATTTTTAAATATTAATTGAAAAAATAATTTTAAATAATAAGTAAATAAACTAACAAATTGAAAATTGATCTATTAGAAAAATAAAAATAATGCAAAGAGTAAAAATTATCATAACAAAAAAACAACGAAATCATTATAGGCAAAGAAGCCAAATTTTTAAATTGGTCAAATTGGCCACGCGAAATCAATTTGATGAAATTTTGATAAAAAAAATAGAAGTAGTGAAAATTAATTTTAAACAATAACTTATAAAACATTCAATTAGGATATCATATAAAATCACGAACGATTGTAGTCGATAAAATTATTAAAGTTATTTTTAATTTCTTAAAAAATAATGTTTTCAACATATGACATTTTGCAAGAAAAAAGCGTGCTCATTGGACTGTAAAAATAAGTTATGACGTTTCATAAATTCTTTTTCTTTATTTTATTTTTAAGTTCTTTAGTTTTAGTGTCTATGTGAATATGATGATAATGTATTTGATTTTTCTTATTATTATTCGTCTTTGACTTTGGACTAGATCTCTTAGACTTTACTAAAAAACTATAAAGTTTTAGACGTTTCATAGTTTAATGCGATTATTTTATAAAATAAACCATTTTATCTGTATTTATTTTATAACAATAACTTTGTTGAAATATAGTCAATAATTTTTTTCTTACCTAATTCATCGGTTTTCTCATTAAACACTGTTTTCACAGTACAGAGTGGTTATAAATGATTTTCATCTAGCCAGCTGTGAATTTTTCATGTAAAATAAAAAATGCCGCTTTACGAAAATAGGGGTACTTACTTGTTGTAACTCAAAATTAAAAAATCGCCGTTTACTAAGCGTCCACTTCGAAAATAGACTTCAATTATAAACTTGTTTTCTTCCAAAGTATACATTATTATCAATTAATATTGGAAATTAGTTGAAACAATAAAAATTTAATTAACAACAATTTATTATTAATTAATAAGTGACCTAATGACAGAACTAGAGCTTTCAAAAAAGTAGAGCGGCACAAATAAAGTTACATGCAAAAAAATTCCAAAGCTGGCTAGATGAAAATCATTTATAACCACTCTGTATTTTTACCATCGTCTATATACAGGGTGATTTTTAAAAAATGGCAGGGGTTGTACGACTTTTATTTATGGCCCGATTTCAAAAGATAAAAAAATTAATTAAATGGCTTTCAGTATATGAGCTGACAATTTTAGAATTTTTCTAAATGTCATGGTATATTTTGGGCTTTTCAATTTTAAATTGGAACCCTTATTTTTCTATAATTTGGAAGGTATTAGTTTTCTTGGTACAGACATGTACAATATGTTTTACTTTTATTCAAAATTATTGTTTAAAAAAGTTAAAAAAATTAACAAAAGTTAATAAAACCTCGTTGCATGTCAAATAAGACAATGCCATTATTGTAATGTCAAGAAGTAGCAAATAAAAGAAACTATTACCAATATTTTTTAAAATTATTAATAAGAAATGACTATATGTTAATAACTACCTTTAAGAAATCAGAAAAACATCTAATTTAGAGTTACTAATTTATATTATCGTTATTTATTTATTTATTTTTACTTTTAATAAAATTATTGTTAGTAATTTTTTTTTATTGACACTATGCAACTAGATTTAATAAAAGTAGAACATATTGCACATGACTGTACCAAGAAAACAAATATCTTCAAAACTATAAAAAAATGGGCCCCTAATTAAAGTTATAAAGTTAAATATAGCCCAAAATATACAGGCTGTCTCAGAACTCACGCTCTAGAGAAAAATTTCATGTAAAATAAGATAAAAATGTTTAAAAAATTCTATATGTCAAAAAATTTTGACATTTATTTTTTGATATCTCACATTTTTTATGTCTATTTAATGATCTGATGATCTTGACAGTTGGAGACAAAATACTTTGGTCGTCACTTTTCTGACACTTTAATTCGAGCTTTAACGTTAAAATTAATGACAATTTCAAATTAATGACAGCTATTATATTTTACTATCAAAAATATGTACATACAACTTGTCAACTATGATTGACAGTAGCTAAAAATAAGGTTAACAGTCCTAAAGCATGCTTTACAATTTAATGTCACTCAAGTGACATTGATGACCAAAGTATTTTGTCTCCAACTGTATATGTTTTTTTTTTTGTATAATTATTTAGTAAAAGTACAAACATTTTGCCAATAAAAGCCACAAATAACATTAAACGGAGTTACAATTTAGGATACATCTTCCTTGTTTCCTCTTCTAATAGCCTGTAGCAAAAAAACTTGAAAAATTCTTGTTCCAACAGAAATAAGTAGAGTCAAAGTGCAGAATTTAAACTCATAACTTCGAAATTTTTATAAATAGAATTTTTTTAACGTTTTTTCCATGTTACTGGTATCTTCCTTACATGACATTTTTCTCTGAGGCGCGTGTTCTGGCGCACCCTGTATGTACTATGACATTTAGAAAAAATCTAAACTTGTCAGCTTATGCTACACTGTCCTCCAAAATTAACCGACAACTAATATTTTGCGATTTTTTACATATTTTTGTTATTCTTGTTTTAATTCAATAACATTTTTAGTTTTGTCCTCTACATGTGATACTCTCTACTTATACTGAGTTATGCGACAGAGACAAACTTAAGTTTTTACTGATTTCACATTATTGCCCATTATTTTTTGAATTATGTACCACATTTTTCATAATTTTAATTCTTGAAACATGAGAAAAACCATTACATTCCCAATTTCAATGAATGTTTGTATTAAGTAGGCCGAATGTGCCAAAACTCTTAGAGGAACTTTTAGAGACTAAGCAATGTGTAGAGACCACAAAAGATTTTGATTGTTTTAGTAATTTAAGATTATTTTGAGACATGAAATATGTGTAACATTTTTTTAATTCTTTTAAGGGCAATGCAGCAAAGACTCAGTAATGAACCCGTTGCTTTACTGGAAGGCCTCGACGAACTGTCATCGATCACCATTTGGATTTCTTACGCTGAAATATATAACGAACAAATCTACGATTTGCTGGAACCAAAGCCGTCCCAAGACAAACAGCGAACCAGATTGCATCTTGGGATGTCCAACGGTAAAGCTTACATCAAAAACTTGAGCAGCGTTAATGTAACATCGCCAGAAGAAGCTTACCAAATCCTCCAATACGGCATAAATAACCTAAACTACGCTTCGACTCAAGTAAACAAACATTCTAGTCGCTCTCACTCGATTTTAACGATAAAATTAGTGCAAATATCGCGAACAGATGGCAGTTGTTTCGTCAATTGTTTCAATTTTTGCGATCTTGCTGGTTCTGAACGCAGCAAGAAAACATTGAATGTAGGAGATCGACTTAAAGAATCAAACAACATCAATACCTCGTTGTTAGTTTTGGGTCGATGTATTTCAGCGGTGCGAAACTCCCAGAAAGCAAATGATAACAAGTTGGTGCCTTTTAGAGAATCGAAGTTGACTCAATTGTTTCAAAATGCTCTTTCTGGATTTGAAGATATCGCGATGATCGTGACTATAAACCCATCGCGAGAAATGTTCGACGAGTCACAACACGTGCTTAAGTTTTCGGCCCTCGCTAGCGATATAAGAGTCGTCGAACGTAGACCAGAAGGAGGGACAACAAAGAATAATAAAAATCCGCCAGCCGAGAGCTTAAGTGGAGATTATAGCACCGAAGAACTCTACAACATGATTTTATCGTTGCAAACGGAACTAGAAATTCAAAAGAATGAATACGAAACGAACCTGAAAATTGAAAGGCAGTATTTGATTGATGGCTACGATGAAATCCTTCAAGATCAGAAAAACAATGCCGAGCAGCAAGTCAAAACTGCTGAAGAAACTGTTAGAAGGCGTTACGAAGAGAAATTGAAGAATTTACAGGCGCATTATGAGGAAAAAATAAAAAAGTTGGAAAGCCAGATTGTTATTGAATTAAGTTCATCTTCAGACGAGGAACTTTCATTTGAAGATAAGAAATTAACGAGCAGTGCGCCGGAGACAACTGTGAGTGAATCTGCCAACTTTGAAAGCTATAGGGTAGTTGAGGAACTCCGAACTGAAAACACTAAATTAAAAGAAAGAATAAAAGAACTGGAGAGTGAACTCGAAAAGTATAGACAGCAGGGCGTTCGGACGCCAATTGAGGAATTTCAAATGTCGTCGGACACTTATAATGACGTTTTAAATCTATGGAGTCCTATTTGAAGTTTTTACAAATTAATTTTATTGTTTCATATTTTATAGTTGTGCCATTGTTTGTTAGGGTACTAATTAAAATATATATTTTTATCTTACAGGTTGAGTTTTTGAGCTACCTTATTGTTTTCGGTGATAGAAATCAAATATTATTCACAAGTGAGATAAAGTAAAGTCCATTTTTTTTTAAACAATTGTCAATGTCAAAATTCCCTCAAAAACCAGACTGTACTACCCTAAAATCTTTTTTTCGAAACAGTTGTATATTAAAATCTCCCTAGGTTAGGTTTGAGGTTATGTTAGTAAGTTTCAAGTGGAAGCAAATTTTTTACCAAAAGACAAGAAATAAAGACGGTAAGGACACGGAAACATGCAACTGCTAACCGGGAAAAATTTATTTAATGGGTAACTTAAATTTTTACTCATTTTCAGAATCTGATTCAAAATTTTTAGACCACCAATCGTCTTCAGAATCTGATTCTGGAGAAAGGTGAATCATTATTGGAGGAATATAATAAAATACTGGATTAGTCATGCAATTTATTGGATGCCGTTCTTTTTTAGGAGTTTTTATACAACCAAAATTATCAAATTCATGAAGAATTTTAACTGGTTGGTTTTTTGTCTGCATATATTCACAAAATCTAATCATAGCTATTTTTCTTGTTATGTTAAGGTCCAGATCCTTGCTTTCAGAACCTCATTTTTGTAAACGACTCTTCTTGAGATAACACACAATTTCACAATAATTTATTTGAACAATTATTATAATTCAATTAACTCGTACGAGAGCTACGCTAAGACTGACTCGTTATCGTATTACTTTCTTCAAAAACGGCAAGATTCACAAAAAAAACCTTTCGTAATAGTTCCGTTCTAAAAGGCCTCTGTTCGGGGCAGCGTAGGTATTCCTGCTATCTGCACAGAAATAATTCTAATACCAACCAATTCCATCTTCAACATTTTCTGTGCTCTTTAAGTTGTACTTTCAATTTTAAATTTAAAAGTAAATGCGGCTTCAGTAGCGCAAGCGCCTTCGTAACAAAACGGCTGACATTCAATTGACATTTTACGTTGCCAACGTAATAACATCAAATAACTAGTGGTTGATACCAACATGACAACACTTTGACAATTGTTTTTTTAAAAAAAGGACTTTACTTTTATTCTTCGACACTGTCAAAATTTACGGTTTTTCTCCCGTGTAAGGAAGTTTTGACAACTGTTTGGCATTTCTCAATACAAAACGTCAAATTATTTTTAACAGATTTAAAGCAAGTTTAAGCCTTGTTGACTCTAATTCGAAGAATAAAATGTTGTATTCCACTCGTTTGAGTGTAAATCGGACGCTTTATTCCACCTCGTGGATGGTAAACCACTCGTTGCACTCGTGGTTTAAAAATCCACTCGGTCAAATAAAGAGTCGGATTTACACTCAAACTCGACGAATAAATAACTATTATAGGTGATGAATGAAACTTCATTTTTTGGATAGTTGCACCTGTAAGATAAAACGTATATCACACGTGATCGAAATACCATTATGAAACTCGTGCGCAAGCGCACTCGTCGGTCAAAATTCTCACTAGCGTATAATGATGCATTTCTATCACTTATAATATAATGTACTATTACTTTTAATATCGATTACCCTAATTTAGTATAAATACATATTTTCAATAAGAAATGACTTTTTTCAACTAGGTATACAGTGTCTTTAATAGTTAAAAAAAGGTAAGCTAGTGCATTTAAATAAAAAAGACACTTGTAAAAATTCGAAATATTTAATACTAACTTATGTTAGCAATATGCCCTAATTATTTAGGGCATATTGCAGATTAGACGTAATCATATTTTTAGAACTTTCATTATTTTCTTAAGGCAAAAAAAACAAGCTTGGTTCCATACTTTTTGTTTACTTGTTATACTAATAGTATAACAGGCAGGTAATAAGCCTTTCAACACTCGTAAAACAAATGATTATTTCAATTTGTAAAAAAAATCATTATACCTACTAGAACTTAAAATTTTCAAATACCCGGAAATGATGTCTGGTAAAAGTATATACAGAATGTCTCACGTAAGACATTCGCGTCTAATATCTCTGTTATTTGCCAGCAGATCTTTATGAAATTTAAAATGTGGGCAACTTATAAGGTGGAGATTCAATTAGTTTAATAAAATTACCTCAAGATAAAAAAAATGTATTATATTTTTATTAATTTTTTTATATTTATTTTCTCAATTTGAAATTACGCGAAACTACTATTATATGGTTAAGCACTAAAAAAACAGACAAAAAATAACTAAATCACTGGTTTGAATCAGCAGAAATACGGCGATTATGTTGACCTAATTTTTGAAAAAAATTTATCAAAGTTAACTCTAAAACAATAGTACAGTGTCTCCAAATACCATTTTGTTCAATCCTGAAAACCTGTGGTAATTAAAGAACACCTTTAGAACTTTTATAACCAATGGTGGTACCGTCCAGCATCTTTTGTTGTATTAAACTGGTTAGTCCAATAAATGCAGTTTCTAAATTATGTTGTTAACTTTTTGAAGTTAGAGAAACAATAAACGTCAAATATTAATGTCATTGTCGCCTGACAGATAGAGGTGACCAAAATTTGGTAATATCGCCCCTTTTTTACAGCCGCCTATGATTTTTAATCTTCAGCCACTTTTAACAGTTTTATTCTTTTGACAAGTCAGGTGTAGGACGATTGTATTCTTCTAGTTATTTGTTTATTTAAAATATAAACATACAGCTGTCAACGAATGTTCAATTAAAAAATATCAATTATGCTTTGAGCGGTGAGTGAGTTTTGTTAAAATGTTTTATAAATTCAGTAGACCAAAACAAAATACCCTTTTTTTCCTGATATTTACGATTTTTTATATTTTTTTCTATTCAAAATATTTGAATAAGCGGACCGCGGGAATTATTATCCATGTTTTATCCGCCAAATCCCAAAATCTTAATCTATTTCGATAATAAATAAAAGATTAAAAGGTATAATTGGAACACCTTGCAGAGTACATTTTAAGACAAGTAAAGTACTGCCTTAAACGCATAATAAAATCACATTTTAAGGGCTAGGGTTGTTTTAGTAATGCGATATTAATCTTTATCCACTAAATATTCTACATTTTAAATTTCGTTAGGATCCGTTGGCAAAAAATAGAGATGTTAGATCCGAAAGTTTTGGGGAACACCCTGTATACAGCAGACTAAACCTCCATATGTTTTTCAATTTAAATACTTTCTAATACCATGCGATCAAAAAAAAATTACCGTGGGCGTTGATTAAATTTTACAGTTGGCAACACTCTGGGCTGGAAATTTTCCACACAAACTGAAAATGACCATCCTCCGTTTTCCTCTTGTACAGCAATAAACATTTTCTGCTCTAAAGTGAACATTATTTCACTCAAAAGGAATAAAACGCAAACTTGTCAAAGTTTCCCCTGACTCTGAAGGACTTTAATCGCCGTTATTTTTTTTTTGATCGCACGGTACATTACCACACAATTACACAAAAAAATAGAAAACAAAAATGTGACAATGAAAAAAAATCATATTTTTGGAAGTTTTAATTAAATTTATTAAATACTTTTTGCCCAAAAACATAAATTTTGCTATATACACAATGTACACATTTTCGGTATATAATTACTACGATTATCATTAACATGATACAAGGTAAACATTTAAAAATGAGAGTATTTTTTTAAATTTTCCATTTTATACAAAAAATAAGCGTATTTTAAGACATTTTTTACATTTTTTTTCATCTTTGATACTATTGTTCTATAAACAACTATTCACTAAACGTAATTCATCAAATCAAACCTTTCTATATGGAACATCCATCTTTACACAGATCGAATTAAATAATCCTCATTGCTATTTTGTAATTACGTTCAATAACTTAATAGTAAAAAGTCAAATAAAAAAAACACAATACTGGAAAGAATATCTTACATTATACTCTCATGGTAGACCCATTTACAAAATAGCAACATAAATAAAATCACGACAAACCCATAAAAAAATCACACAACCCTGTGTTCGGGACAAAAAGTCTTATAATTCTCCTCGTCAAACTCCCACTCCGTTAACCTCGCACAGCACACATGTGCCACCCTTACACACCCCCTCTTCAAACAGCAAATGTTCGCCCCCTTGAGATGGCACTTCCCGCACGCCACGTTACAACTCGTCCACACCGCCTCCTCTAAGCCAACGATTTTCGGCCCCACGAGGTACACCCCCTCCGACCACACGATGCAGTCCTCGTGCGCCCACACCTCGTACCCGTTCCCCGTCTCAGTGATCCCCAAAAACGCCTCCTCCTCCATCGAGTGCTTCCGCTTTTTCTTCACCTTCACACTTCCATCCAGCGTCCTCGCAATCTTCTTACTCTTAAACTGCTTGTCGAAGGGGTCGTCCAGCCGACGCTCGAACTCGGGACAATTCCCCGAGATGAAATACGGCCCGAAGAGGTCCCCGGGGGCCGGAATCGATGTGTTGAGCGTTGGACCAGAAGTTTCAGTCGCATGAGGTCCCCGTTTGCAAAACGCGCAAATCCAGGAGGTGTCTTTGGTCTGGGCGTCGTATTGGTTGCTCAAAGTGCTACAATGGAGTCCTTTGGAACGCACCTTGTGTCTGTATTCGCTATCGTCGTGAAATTTCTTCGTTTTGTGCGGTTTTCGGTCGGAATCGTCATCGTTCGTCGGCGTGTTGATCACACTCACTGAAAGAGGCGAATCACGAGGTCCACGGATTTGGATAAAAGGACCCCGCGATTTACTCGAACTAGCATTACTACCCGAATCGTAGGCGTACACGTCTTTCATTGCTTCAATTTTCAAGTTTTTCTTCGTTTTGGTCGGTTTCAGGGCAGTCTTACTACCTTTCTTGCCGAGTTTCTTCTTTGGGGTTGACTCGGATTGAATCCGTCTTTATAAAAAAAATGTCACAACAATTAATAATTTCAATCAAATAATGATGAAAAATAATACTTTAAAATAAACTATTTCCTACGTAAGTACTAGCTGACACTTGAAACAAATCTGATATCGCAAGCTAAAAGACAGTGTTGCCAACGAATTTTTTTGTCACAATTATATCCACATTAAGGTTGCCAATCTAATTTCAAAATCACAACCCACTTTAATCACAAATTTAATGAAACGCTAACAATGACGTTATTCAAGAGTGTTTAATAAAGAAATCTGTGCGTAAATGGGATTTTTTAGCAATAACTAGTTTAAGTTCTTTATTATAGATCTTATTTAAAATACGCGAGAACTTGTTGACAATACTGGGTAATCAGAAATAACTTTTTGAATTTTATTTTTAAATAGAGTCGTTTGTTGACAAGTTGATATTGTCAGCAACACTTAACAATTCAAATTTCACTAGAATTTAATAGCATTTTTTTTGTCAAATACAGGGTGTTTCACATAACTTTACGAGGCTTGCGCCTATTGTACGCACCCAAATATACAAAAGTCACAGAACACTGGATACAAAAACACACATTTATTTAATTTTTGGAAACCCATGACAGTAGTTGTCAAACTAATCACTGTTTCATTAATAGTCATAAACTGCAGTTTTTCAGAAACAATTATCATTTGTTCTATCAAGAGACGGCATGAATATGATTCTAGTTTACCTATCTTAATCACTAACTAACTAAAAACGTTGTAATTTTTTAAAGGGTGAACAAATTAGAGAAAATTATTCAATTTTTAAAATTTGTAATCGAGTTCGTATGGGAATATGTATTATTGATTGCATCTTATAGGCGCAGGCCTCGTAAAATTACGTGAAACACCCTGTATACTAATCTAATCAACTTAAACAGTCACGTAATATTATCATTTTGCATTCTCAACTTAGCACAAAAGATCGAATTTTCAGAAAACGTAAAATAATTGTTAAAACAGCAAGATTACGAATTGTAATTTAATTTGTACCCTCAGGTTGGCAACAAAATTTAAATCTTAACTAGGCAACCTTGATTATCAAATTAAAACTTGAGAATAATATACAACATCATGTTTTTCCACAGGCTTAAATTTGTTACCAACTTAAACGATTAATATTGATCACCCAGTATTAACATTTTGTATTTCTACAGCGTGTTTTAAAATGATTTTCATCGGGAGCCTATATAGGTAGTAATAAAGCGATCAGTAAATAATTCAATTTTGATCAGTATAAAATAATAAATGATCAGTGTTTAATTAATTTTTGCACAGTAAAAATAATAAATGCTAAGTAAAGCACGCACAGTATTTTATTGAAATTTGTTCAGTAAAAAAATCCAATTTGCCCAGTAAAAATAATAAGCGCTCAGTAACTTTAATCAAAATTAGTAACACAACATAAAATTTAAAGAATTTTCAGTCTTGGTTACATAACAATGTATGGCCCCTGCCCAAGAATGTTATTTTTACTTACTTGTACGTACTTATTTTTATATTACTGAATATTTATTATTATTGGAGGGTCGTATATGTATTAACAAGGGCCCCTGCGCAAGCAGGATTTTAGCAAGGGCTGGAAACTGTGCACAAATGGTAATCAGTTTAATTAGCGTACGCCACTCTTTGAACTGCTGTGCTCCTGATACCACAATTTTGTTTTTGAACGCTTTACGATATTCCGATTTTGCTCGGAAACATTTTGTTTGTAAAGGTGTGAATATTAAATTAATTAGTTTTGCTAGACATTTATTCATTGTCTTTACTGTGCATTTAATAAATTATTATTTTTACAGATCAAAAACACTTGTCGTTTAAATAATATACTGTGCATTTAATTTGTTGCCATGTAAATTTTTCTGTGCTCTGTACTCTTTTTGAATCAGATAGTTCTGTCAACAGTGACGGCTGTCAATTGAAATAAAATAATATTTGAGGTTATAAATTCAATGTTTTTTAAAGTGGCATTTATAATTTTGCATGGAAATTTCAGAGGCGACTAAATGAAAATCCTTTTAAAACACGCTGTGGTATTTTAATGCAAAAGAACTAATATGCGGAAGCCAAAAAAATAGTTCTTACATACAAGCCGCATCAGAACAAGCCAGAGAAAAATACCACATACGATAGAGATACCAAGAACAAAGTAAAAATGTTAAAAAATTCTATCTACAAAAATTTCAAAATTATGAGTTTAAATTTTGTATTTGACTCTTATTTGTTTCTGTTTAAAAAAAAAATCCAAGTTTTTTTGCTACAGGTTATTAAAAGAGGAAACAAGGAACCTGTATCCTAAATTGTAACTGTGTTTAATGTTATTTGTGGCTTTTTTTATTGGCAAAATTTTTGTACCTTTACTAAATAATTATAAACAAACCGATAGAATTTTATAAACATTTTTTCCATGTTCCTGGTATCTTATCTTACTTGAAATTTTTCTCTGGGGGGCGAGTTCTGACACACCCTGTATACCGTGACATTACAAATGATTGTGATTGTTGTTAAATTAACAACAAAATTCAAATCTTAATATGGCAATATTAAGTATTAAACTCAAACGACACAATTTTTAATTGTCATTTATATGTATTCATTGTTGCCAATAGATTTTTCGTCACAATTAATTGTATTTCAGTGAATTGAATACCTTTGTTTCCTTTTGCCCTTCTTTGGGGATTTTTTTAGAACGGTTAAATCGTTCGAGGTTGAAGTGACGTTATCTTGACTCGTCGTTGCCATCGATAAATCCTCCATTTTGGTTTCATTGTCAGTCTTGAGAGGATCACTCGTGTCTTCAATACCGGCAAACATTTCTTCTAATTTGTTTTCAACTTCGACAAATTGCGTATTGGTGGCTTTTTTAGGTGCTGTTGTCGAGTCACTTTCTTGCATATTTTCATTCGTTTTGATCACACTAACTGAGACTGCTTTTGAGTCGTGTGTGACCTCACTGGTTTCAGGTTTCGTTTTTAAGCTTTCTTGAACCATAGCTGCTATATTGTCTATAGTTTCCGATTCTGAGGAAGTTTTCCGTCGAGTTTTCGCAGGTACTTCTTCCTCGAACGATCTCCGCCTTTCGGGAATCTTCTTTTCTTCACTTACTTCTTCATTGTCGTCGATTTTGACAGTGCTTTGGTCTGGAAGTTCCTCTTTCGTCACACGTACTGTTTTGCTCGGTTTCCGTTTCCTCCTCGACTTATTGCTATCTAAGCTATCTTCATTGCTATAGGGCGAAACAACTTCGTCGTTGGTGGGCGTTGGTACGTTTAAAATACTACTAGAATTACTGTTTTCGTCATGCGAACTCGCTTGTACAATCACACTCCTCGTTTCACACTCGTCGTTCGTTTTCTCGAGATTCGGATTGAGTCTCTCCAATATCGAATCAACACGTTTTTTCGAATTTTTTTTCGAATCCGGACTGATCGGTTTGACGTTTTTCACTTCAACGGGTTGTATGTCCAAAGCACTCGCCGGTAAACTGTTGATTTTATTCGTATCGCGCACACTTAAACTAATCGGAGTTGTGAGTATTTCGCCGTTTTGACTGCCGTTTCGAGTCACTGATAAATCCACACCGGATCTGTTCAGCATCTGTTCCAGGCCGAAAATATGCGAAGTCGGCATGGTTTTCATCGGTTCGGTAGTTGGCGTGTGCCAAGTTGGTTGATGTAAAAGGGAATGTTCATTTGACATGTGAGCGAGTTGAGGTTGCCGACTTGGGAAATAGTTCGGTACCTTGAAATTGACGGTTTTAGATTCAATTTTGCATATTTGAAAACTTACTTGAAGGTGGTTCCAGGCGGGATTTGTTGGAGGCGCGGGCCTACTGTGGGGATGATGAGGAGGGCCTCCCGACATTTTGACAGATGCACAAAGTACTTGCTCAGTCTGGTGGCATAGTAGCGAGAGTGAAGAATACTCAAGTTGAGAACCTTACTTCAATTTATTATGTTTTGCATAAAAGTTCGAGCGCCTGGTGTCCAGGCTAGAAGTTTTTTCATAAAAATCTGAAACAAACTAATTCAATTAGACGTGGTGCTAATCAGAAAGACAATGGTGATGACTTAAAAAAATAACTTTTTCAAAAATGTGTAGGTATCGAACAGTGTAAAAGAAACTTTTCTTGTAGTGATAACAGAACCAATTTTATAAATCCCTTCAAGTCTGTTTCTTCCATTGCATACAACCTTCATCGTTTTCGTTCTCTTTTTGCAATGGTTCAAAAATGTATTTAAAATATACAGGGTGATTCAAAAGTGTAAGAACATCTCTTGGGTGGTGATAAAGGACATCTAACTGAGCTAAAAGTTCCCATGACATAAATTATTTGAGCCTTTTTTCACGAGATATAGCTCTTCAAAGGTTAGATTATGGGTTAAGTTTTTGGTCGTTTAGAAGAATATGTAATCTTGAATTTAGTTAACAGACCTCTGTTGAAAAAAATCACCAATTTGTGTCTTGTGGTGTAAAAAACATTTAACAAAATAGCAAATTCAACAATAAATTAAATCCGACAACATCGGAAACAAAAAAACTAAGATGCCTACATGACAATATTGAAATTGAAAAAAAAAGGCTTGAAAAAAAAATCTGAATCCATTTTTATGCTTAGTTGAAAGTCTTCTATCACCATTTGAGTGTTGGTCCGACACTTTTGAATCACCCTGCATGTCGGCGGTTTACACACGATACGATAAAGAAATAAAATTGTGATACATATACAGGGTGCGCCAGAACTCGCGCCCAGTAGAAAAATTTCAAGTAAGGTAAGAAACCAGGAACATGAAAAAAAAATTAAAAAATTCTATCTGTCAAAAATTTTTGACATTTGACATTTTTTTGTCTATTTAATGATACTGATGATCTTGTATATGTTTTTTTTACAATTATTTAGTAAAGGTACAAAAATTTTGCCAATAAAAGCCACAAATAACATTGAACACAGTTACAATTTAAGATACAGCTTCCTTGTTTCAGTCAAAGTGCAAAATTTAAACCCTCATAACTTCGAAATTTTTATAGATAAATTTTTTTTTAATTTTTCCCATGTTCCTGGTATCTTACCGTACATGGCATTTTTCTCCAGGGGGCGAGTTCTGGCGCACCCTGTATAACGCTAGAGAAACAAGAGACAAAAAAAAGAACCGGTTCGTTCCGGTTTCTTTCAGTTTTCAAAATGAGTGCACAATTTTTCGTCTTATTTGCTTGTTGTAATCTTTTTTTAATATTTGACCATTCTATAGACAAGATGTAGATTAACAAGTGAACTATGAGGTATTTTCTTTAAAGTACCTATTTATAAATGCTCATTTTAGTGCTTTGTAGATTTTATCATTGTTTTTTTAAGTTTCACGAAATTGCATAAATTGAACTTTGACATCGTTTAGCCAATGTTTTATCTAAGAAAACATTGTTATTAACTTGTTCAAAATTTTGGCAAAAAATAAAAGTTTAAAACGTAAAATTCTAACAAATCATATCATGTTTTTAGCTAAAGTACCGTGTAATCAAAAATTATCTTGCTTAAGGGTGGTCATGGAATTAAAAAGGTCTGTCGTTGCTTATATCATACTTTTGAAATAATTCCATCAACTGACAGAGGCGCCATAACCTACGACAATTATTTTAAAATCCATGACCACCCTTGATCAAGATAATTTTTGATCTCAGGGTACTACTAGATTTCCTAAAAAGCAGTGCCTAATATGACGGCAAATGACGTCAGGAAAAAACGGTCCCATATTTTTGAATTGAAATGAGATGGGGTCCTAAAAGACGGTAAACACCTCGTAACATTTTTTATAAACAAAATGTGATCGCCACCGTTTTTGTGACGTCATTCACCGTCATATAATTGTCGTAATATTACGGCACCACTTTTTAGAAAACCTTAACTTAAGTGTTTGTAAAAAAATCTATTGGCAACATTGAATTATTGGTAATCCTTCCAATTTGCTATTTGTTGAATATGTTCAACCCACGACTAAACCAGAGGTTGCCCCTTAAAATTAATGTCAATTGCCTATAGAAATTTGAGTTTTAAATAAATAAAGATTAAATAATTAAAGATTTTAAGGAAAAATCGCAATCATTTACGGCCACCCGGTATAAATCATTATAGTTACAGATTTGTCAACAAGAAATTACCACCTAGGATTTGAACTTTTAGGAAAATTACGTTTTTCATGTTGTTTGTAACTAGAATTTTCAGAAGTAGTTTTGTATGCCTAAGGTTAGTTGTTGTCGGTTGACGTTTTCTGTCAACCTGCTGTCAACTATCAATTAAATTATGCATACAACCTGACAGGTGACTAACCTAAATTTTGACACTAGTTACAATATCTTTTGTTTGTTTATCCCTAAATCGTAGGGAGTAATTTCTTGTTGATACGACAATAGTTTTGTCGTCAAGTAAGCCACAAGTTTGAAATTTTATAATTTGGCAACATTAACTACTTAACACAAGTCACAATTTGTTGGTCAATTGTCATTCTTTTTCGACAGGCGACCGCTGATATCATAAGTTAGAGAATTACTATCTATAATAAAATGTAAGTCTCATATCTTCTGCCTCCACATTATCCAATGTTGCCAACCGAATTTCAAAGTCACAACCCACTTTGCTCAGAAACGTATTTTTAAACGAATAATACTATAGGTAAGTTTCTCGAGAAACTGAAAAGTGAAAATGACCATTCACCGTTTTCGTCTTGTACAGCAATAAAAAAATTCTGCTCTCAAGTGAACATTATTTCACTTAAAAGGAATAAAACGCAAACTTATCCAAAGTTTCCGCTGACATTTGATGTCAAAAAGCAGGATTGCCATCTGAAGGACTTTAATCACCGCCTACTCTAATTTTTTTTTGATCGCACGGTATGTGATTTCAAATTAACGCAATTGATTTCCTTTATTGTTGGTCAAGTGATCAAAACAACGATTTATTAACAGTATCTCATTTCGCTTCCAGGTAATCTTTCACAAAAAGTTTTCACGTTTTGTTTGTTATTAACAGACATTAATCAAAAAAGTATTTATTTATTCCAATTTTGCATTTCAATTCACAATTTTCAGAATTTTTGACAAGAGGATTAAAATATTTTTTTCAAAATGTAAAATTAAAAAAAAAAGGATTTACGTCCTTTGTATTAGCAGGGCCAGAAGTTGTAAGCTATTTGACCTCAAAAAAATGCTGTTGTACATATTTTTCAGCTAATTTTTATTTGTGATTAAGATTCAAATAAAATTTTTACGTATTTAAAGGTGTAAAAAAAGTGCAATCAATTAATATTTTTTTACACCTCCTGAAAGCCAATTTTTGGTTGTACATGATAGTAATATCTGATTTGTTCAGTCTCCAATTATAAAAAAAATAAATTCATTATTATTAATAACACACAGTGTATGGTTGACTTTTGAAACTGTGTTTTTTTACTTTCTGACAAATTACAATTTTTCCACATAGCAGATATTAGAGAATCAAAGAGGTTATGTTTTTAAATTCGTAAGCAACCAACCGACCAATCTTGTTACAGCAACAATTTACATTAAATTTGTCCAAGACTTCAAATAGTACCAAACTCTTTTATCAATGAGTTATGGTACAACGTTAATGACATTTTAAAAATACTATCCACTAAATTCTATAGTGTATAATTTTGATAAGACAACAAAGTTTTTTTATTTGTAATTAAATGTTATTACAAAATTTTATCAGTGACGTAATATAGTTGAACGCTATTAAATAACTATCTACATAAATATTTCATCAGTTTTGATGTATCACATTCAAGTTGAATAATTCACTTTGAGTTCTCAGAATACATTCCAAGATAAAACATTTATATTCATTATTAATCTAAAACAAAAGAAAATAGTTCGTATTCAACATCAACAAAATCAATAAGCAAAGACTATGATGCTAATAAAACGATAGATACTGCATTATTATACGAGTATACAGTAATTCATTCTTTATGGGAAAATGTCTAGAAGTTATTGCAGTCACTCGACCTATGACGCAGATCAATAAATATTATTAAAGTAGGATGCATTTATTTTAAAGTTAAATTTAGGTAACAGTAATTTCGTTTAACTATCAATAAAAAAATATGGTTCAATAAAATTTTCCATTAAAATCATCCTTAACTTAAAAAAACGATACAAATCGATAGTTCTTAGTGCTTCAATAGCAAGCAGTATAATTGTATTCATTATTTGTTGGAACACAAAACTTCACTTAGTTCGCCAAACCGAAAATCTTAAGGAGTAACATCAACAAAACTTTGCAATAATGAATTGATTGATTCGAAGTGATGATTCATTGAAATTAAAATTCTTTTCTCTATCTTTACTCTTTTTTATTATTCTTTCATTCTTTGAATTGTTATGATTTTATGACTATTACACAAGTACAGCATGTTTTAAAATGATTTTCATCTAGTCGCCTATAGAAATTTTTTACATGTAAATTTTTCTGTGCCGCTCTACGCTTTTTGAATCAGATAGTTCTGTCAACAGTGACAGTTGTCAATTGAAATAAATTAACATTTGAGGTTAATTGGATTCAAAATTTGTTTAAGCGGCATTTTTATTTTACATGGAACTTCCATACGCAAAAATCATTTTAAAACACGCCGTATTATAATAGTATATTACAACCAAGATGGGAGATATGTTATCACCCCTAGGGCTCAAGTTATCTGACCAACAGGCACCACAGTCTCGAGGTTAGATGAAGTCCTAGAGTATAATGAAGTTCCTATCGAGGTTTGGATCCTGTTTTATTTACAGACACAGTTTCTTTAAATAATAAAATATCTGTTGATGAATTGACTTAAATTACGTTTTTGACTTTTGATGGGCTCGCAACGCAGGCAATCCTACATAGATCACTTCCCAACCAAGAGAAGGAATGACGTATTACTTGACCTATAATAAAAGGTTAGGAATCGGCGTTTTACTATAGTGATTGTAATTAGAAATGATTTAGATCTGGAGACATTGTGGGTTGGGTT